TGTTGGTTAATTGAGATTTTAATTGGTTGTAAGTAGAAGGAGTTTTGTAAGTGTTTTAAAAAGGAACCAAGTGTTTCGTTTTGTGTTAGTAGAGGAAGATTATTAGTTAGTAAAAAATGGTTAAAGCAAGTTATTTCTTCAGCATGGGATGGAGTATTGGAAGCTGAAGAGTAAGAGTATACTTCTGTAAAATCGCTTGCCGTATACCCAGTTTTCACGGTTGTGCAAGAGTCCAAAGCCTGTCCTGTACGTTGGTTCTGGCCGTCATAAAATTGGTCTTCCACGTATGTTTTTCTTTTTAATAAAGAAGTTTAGTATATAAATAATATCTCAATTGTTTTGTTTAGTTTGTATAGGAGAGTCATAGAGAAAATTATTTTTGAGTATTTAAATTACAAAAAGATTATTAGATAAATATAGATTTAATAGTTAGTTAGTAGAGTTAGGAATAGAAATATAAATATTGAGAGTTCTGATCTTGTAAAATTTAATATATTTGAAATAAATATATTGAATTTAATTTATATATTATTTTAAAGTATCTATGCAATGCTAGTTTTGATGTTTGGAGTTTGTGAGTTTTTGATAGATGCATCTATATAGAAATATAAATTGTTTGAATTTAGAAGTAGAATTTGATTATAAAAATTTATAATTTGATTTTAGTAAGATAGATTTGTAATTGTGTTTTAGATAAGAGATATATTAGATATAAAATTAATATTTCTAGTAGAGTATATATTGAGAATATTGAAAAAGATTAGTATATTTTATGTAGAATTAGAATTTTTTGTTAATTAATGTAGAGTCAGTATTTTTAATTTTTTTTTTGTATTTTATATTTATGTTAGATAATTAGTTGTAGTTAATAAGGAGTTAGTTAAATATAGATAATATTAGTATTAAGTTTGTATTTTGAAAGAGGATTTGATAGATTTAAAATATTATTTGAGAAGGTAAATAGTTAGTATTTTGCTAATTTTATATTTAGCTTGAGTGTTAAGTAAGAACTAGTAATTTTTGTTTTAGTTTTATAAGGTTATTAGATTAGTATATTAAAAAAAGAGTTTGTTAGTATAAAATTTATATTTGGCTAGATTTTAAGAATTAGAGTTGTTTTGATTTAGTTTGAGAGGTCTTTATATTATTAGAAGTTAGTCTGCATAGTAGTTTATAAATTCTAAGATAGATATTTTTCTAAGGAAGTAGAAATTGATTATCTGCTATGAAAAGTTGTTCAATAAATAGAATTTAGTTATTTCTAAGACTTAGAATTATTGCTGTATTTAGTTTTTAAAAAAGTTATATATGAGATTTAGTTGTTTAGTTTAATTATTAGTATGTAGATTATTAAGAGAAGGGTTATTAAATAATATATTGTTTTTATAAATAAGTATGAGTTAGTTTATAATTGTAAAATTTAAAGTTTTCTATTAGTTTAAAAGGATTATATTTTTTGTTAAAGTAGGTTATTAGATTTTGGTTAACTATTCTTTTATAAGATAAAGTAATCTAGAATAGGAGTGTATTTGAATTTAAATATCTGTTAATATTACTACTATTTGTTAAAAGAAGTAGTTTGTTAAGTATTAGAATATTTAGGAGTTTGAAGTTTATAAGAATATTATTATTTGTATTAATTAGTAGATGTAATATATATTTGATACTTTTAGTAAGTTTAGTTAAAAGTTGATTGATTTTTTCTAAAGAAGAGAATATATTTGAAGAAGATATTCTATTGATAGTGATAAAATAGTATTAAAAAGTCAAGAGATTTGTATTAGGAAGAGTCTTTTGAATTGAATAAGATAAGTAAATTAGTATATTTTGTTAGAGATTATATTTATTATAGGTTTAAATAAACTATTTCTATCAAGAAAAATGTCTAAGTATCTTATAGTTTTATTTGGTTTATAAAAAAATATTTATTAATTTTTAAAAGTTAGAGTAGAGTTAAATAAATTATTTGTTTGAAGAGTTTTGGATTTGGATATGTGAAGAAGGTCTGATTTTGAAGAGTTTATTTGAATATTATTAATTTAGTAGAGTTTTAAGATATTATTAAATATTTTTTGGAGATTATCCTTTGACTTGTAGTGCCAAATAGTATTATCTATAAATAATAAAGGAGAAATTTTAATAGAAATATATTTATTAGAGAATATAAGATTGAAGGTAATTTAGTTATTATTTTGAAGAATTTGAATTAGTATTTAGTATTGATATAGCTTAGTATAAGATTATAGTATATTTTCTAAAGGAGTAATAAAAAAGTTTTATGCTATTTGATACCAGAATACAGAGAGATAAAGTTGGTAAGACTATAAGCTATGATTACTCTAGCTTTTCTGTTTTGATAAAAAAATTGAATAAAGTTAATCATATTTTGAGAGATGCTAATTCTTTTATAAGTATTAATAAGATATTTAATATTGATTTTGTTAAAGGTTCAGAAGGTTTGGAAGGACAAAATTTATCAGCTGTTTAGGAGTTTTTTGAATGAGAAAAATCTAGTTTATCTAGATATTTTTTAGCAAAATATGTATATTGTTTAGCCAAATAGGCAAGAGATGAATTACTAAAATTTGAGCCTTATCTTGCTTTAGAATGTTCTTATATAAATGATAATATTTGTCAATTATATTTACAATGAGTAGCTCATCACAATAAGTTAGATAAAGTAGAATCAGTTTTAAATACTTCAAAAAAACAATTAATAAATAGTCTAATATTTTGAATTTTTTTCTACAATTAAGTGATAGTTTATTTAAGGTGAGAATAAATACTATAAATAGTATATTGTTAAAGGCTTTCGTAGTTTGTAGCATTTTATTCTTTGTAATTGAAAATCCATTTTTTATTAATCTTCTTCAATATTTGTATTCAAGTTATTAACTACTATCAAAAAAAGTTTTAGCAGATTGATTATTAAACCAAGAATACTCTAGAGTTATAATAAAGTGAGAGGCTATTTTTCATGAATCAAGTAATTTAACTATAGATATTATATAATAATAATAAAATTATTCTTTATAATTTATTATTATTACTTAATTATTATTATTTATAGCATTCAATAGGTAGACATTACCTAATTGAAGTTCGATCTATAGTTTTATCATTTTAACATCTATGTATAACAAATTTTTATATTTATTATATGATTTTTTTTTAAATTCATATACTTCTAAATTTCTTGCAAACAAAATTGATAATGTTATAAGTGAAATTGGTGAAGTCAGATTTGTAGCAATTATAACTAATAATACTAATAATATAAAATTTGCTCAAAAAATTATTCACAAAAAATATCTAAAAATTTTAAATTTAAATTGTATTACATATTGTATTAATCTTATTTCAAAAGATATTCTTAGTAAGTATTAGAGTAGATAATATTACATATATAATTATCATATTAATATAATATAACTTTATTTTAGAGTATATATTTGGTTCATATCTAATTAAAGATTGTAATAAAATAATTAAATATTTTAAAAAATCTTATCAGCCAAATATGTACTTACAACAGGCAATTAATAATTTAAAAATTTCAGGTAGTAGATTAAAGAAATTTGTTAATACAAGATAGACCTCTGCATATGAATATACATTATCAATTAGTCAGCTTGAACATATATTTATTAAAGTAAGATAGATAGTATTTTTTTTATAAATAATTACTGGTAATTTAATTTCATTACTTATAGTATTAAATTTATATATATATAAATTATAAATAAAAATTCAGATTTAATTACTAATCATAGTGTAAAACAAATTTTAAAAAGAACTTTTTTTTTTTAGATCTTAAAATTTTAGTTAAAGTTTTAGCTCCTATTCGTATAATAATTATAAAGTTAGAAACTCAATTAACTACTTTAGCTGATTATTTTATTTAGTTTGTTTAGTTAGTAGCTTCATTAAAAAAATTTCAATCTTTTGAATTAATATATTTAAAAATTATTGTATACAAGTAATTAATAGAAGGTAGAAAAATTTTGATTGTAAGAATTATATATTGGCATACTTTCTTCACCCAAGATATTATAATATATTATAATTTAAAATTTTTTTATAAATTAGCAAATTATAATAATAATATATATTTTTTATTAGGTATTAGATTACAAGACCAACAATTTCATATAATTGCAAAAATAACAATTAAAATATAATAATAAGCAAGATATGATCAATACAAATATGCAAATCTTGTAGCATATATATAACAATTCTAAGAAAAAAAGGATGAGTTTGACTTGTCTTATTGTTTTGAAGCTGATACTCCCTTATTATAGTGGACAACTAATTATGTTAGCTCTGAATCAATTGGAAGTCTTGCAATCAAACTATTTTCAATTACTCACTATTCAGCTAATTGTGAAAAAACTTTCTTATTATTAGATTGGTTATATAGAAAATGATGACAAAGACTCTCTCTTTCCCGAATTCAAGCTATAGCACAAATTTAGTCTTTTTATATTTCAAATATAAAAAAAGAACTAGCTTACTTTGGTAAAATTTTAACATCTAATGATTTGCAAGAAAAAATAATTTCTGCAACATTTTTAGCTGAAGATGATGATGAAATGATTGAAGATTCTGAAATAGAGGAAGTCGAGTATGATTTAAATATTATTGAATGTTTTGATATTGAAAATATTGTATTTTTAAATAATGAAATTTTTTGAGATAATGAATCAGATAATAATAATTCACATGTTGATAATGCTGAAAAATTCGATAAAATTGAACATGACGAACTGCTGATAGGTAATACAGTAGAACAGAGAGTTTTTGATTTTAATCCTACAGAATTAGCAGCAGATTTAGTTTTGGAATAGGATTATGAAAATAAAAAAGATAATAGTGATAGTTTAAGTAGTGTAGATAAAGTAGGCGAAGATAGTGAAAATTTAAATAATATGGAGGGTGAATATAGTGTATCAGAAAATTTACCTATAGCACTTCGAAAAACAGGTTGCCAAAATTTAAAAAAATAAAAAAATAATACTCTTATAAAGTAATTTTTTATGTTTTATAATAAAAAGAGTTTCGTCAGTAGTTTTGTCAAATGTCAGTAGTTTCGTCACTCGTCAAGATTTCGTCAGACGAAACCATTGGCGAAACCATTTCGTCACAGCCAAAATAGTTTCGTCAGGCATCATTAGTCACGGTTATGCAGATCAGTTGCCTAATATAGGCATCCCGGCAATTAATTCAATTAATTGAATTAATATCATTTCTTAAATATATCGCGAAAGGAAAATTTAATATCAAAAGGGGTTTAATGGTTAAAACAGTTTGAATAAAGAAAGTAAAAAAATAAAATTAAATAAAGAAAATGTAAAAATGAAATTTATGTAGTAAAATAAGTCATAATTAAAAATTATTATAA